AATAAATAATAATAAATAATAATAATAATGAATAATAAATAATAATAAATGATAAATAATAATATTAGGTGTTAACAGTGGTTCCACAGAATGGCTCTTCTTCCAAGGAACTCCAATTGGTTTTTAGAAGTTGATTTTTGTGGAGAAAAGAAAAGAGAACACAGGGAAAATCCCTGAACCTCGGGAGAGAACTAACAGGCAACACTACTCAAATATGACACCAAGTCCGGGATTGGAACCCGGGCCGTATTAGTGCGAAGCGAGCGCTACTAATCACCATCATGCCACCCGTGCTTCCCAATAACAGGACGAAACTAATAATAATGCTATGTAAAGTCGAATCAGTCTAAGACGACAGCTATGAAAAATTTCGTTGTAAACTCCTTTTTAGATGACTCAATTTTTTCAAATAATTTCACAACTCAATAATTTAAAAGTCTGCTTACCTCAGAAGCCATGGCTGTGACGTCAGAAGGCATGTCTGGTGCAAAAGCCGGACGCAAGGCAGCACCCACCTATGACGAGCATAAGTAGTGATTACGATTCTTGGTTTATATAGCGCCTTTCTGTGTGTGTACTCAAAGGTGCTTTATAATCAAAATAAGGCGTGTACCCTTTAAACGGATAAATAGTTTTAGCGGCATACACAAAGGAAAGACTTGCCTGAGCTTGGAACTGTTCTAAAATCACGTGACCAGGATAGTCAGGATCTGGGACTGCAGCAAACACGTGGACGATATCCTGAGAAGGAACAATAAATCATAGTAATTAGAGACATCCTGGAGCACAATACGTGAAAACAAATTACTCCATTCACTTCTCAGTATTTTCATTTTCTATCATAAACGTCCCTACACGTACAGACATGACTACTTTCAATACCAAGGGTTTGTTGACATCAGTTGGGCTCAGTGTTTTTCACAATGTATTCTTATTTCCATTACTCCTACTATACTATTAGTCTTCCCCACCTCTCTCCCTCCTTCCATTGCCCCTCTCTAACCCCCTTTGTCTCCCAGACATCCCACCCCACCCCACTCCACCCCACAGCATCTCCTCGTCCTCAACTCTTCTTGGTTTGGCCGAAGCAACTATCTCTCTAATTTAACTAAAATTTCTCAAAACATGCCCCTGTAAGTCTCTTATCATCGTCCATTGCTAAAACGATCACAGGTTGTTATATTTCAGTCTTTCTAGTTTATCTTATCCTAAACATCAGTAATTCTCCCACTGATAACAAGTCTGTGAGTGCGGTTCATCGAACATTCGAGATAAGTGATAACCATCTTGTCTTTCTCACCTGTAATGTCTGTAGTCCTTCAAGCTTTAGTTGGTCACTTTGGGCTGTGGCAGCAATGAAAGCCATTCTCACCAGCTCTTGTAAATGCATCACTAGAAAATCTGTAAATAATTCGAAATTTCAGTCACTAAAGAGTACGTATAGCGCACCTTTCATGGTCCAGACATTTAATCAAGTCCTCCATACCTCTCCCTTCCACGGGACAACCATTGGCCATGTAACACAGTTTCACTATAGTCTTTCATTTTTCCACATCCCTCCCCTCCACGGGACAACATCTATCTGGTCATGTAACGAGTAATCTTCACTAGTCTTTAAGTCCTTGGTACCCCTCCCCTCTACGCGACATCGACCATACGTATATACTATTCACCTTCACCAGTTTCTTGTCTCAGTTCCCTAGCCAACACTAAATCAATGTGGGCTCGATTTGGTTGACACACAGCAATGATCTTCCTGACACTTTCCGTGGCGAAGATTCTCGTCGGCCATCGAGGGCTCACTTTAGGGTGGGTCTCTTCTGGCCCTTCATTCAATGTCATTCCGCCTTCCTCGTTTTCTTCGTCTTCGTCGTCTTCTTCCTTGCCTTCTTTTTTACCTAAATAAAATAAAATTTGGTAGAATTGATTTGAAAGATTGAGACTGAGATTTGATTTTTCTTTCTTTGTAAAGACCAAAGACAAGTCAGATGACAGCCAACCAAAAGACGAATAAACCAAACAAGTCTCAGATTTCAGATTTCCGACAGACGTTTTTTGTATTCTTCTCACCTCGACTACGACTATCTGTCTTTTGATCTTGTGGTAAACCTTTATTAGCCTTAGCGGCAGACAGAACGTCACGACAAAGACCAAGCCAATGAGTAAGGTTAGAAGGTGCTAGTGTCTGCAGCATACTGGTCAGCGTGTACTGGATGTCAGAGCGCATGCGCACATCGGTTTCTGTGTCTAACATACTAAACAGGGCACCTGGTGGAGAAAAAAAAGGTATTTCTTAATAACTGTCAAATAATATTGGAAATGAGTCACTGATCTTTCCATAAGTTCTGTTCCATGTATCTGATTTCACATAGTTCTATAAAACTTCCAGTGGTACAAAGAGCTGGAAGTACTCCATTTTACAAACTCAAATGAGTTGAGTTGGTTCTACTGGACTATGTTGCAAGGGCGTGTCATTGATCACTGTGTGCCCGTCTTCCCTTTCTGCTCAGAAACGGGATGACATCAGCTTCCGAGAACATAAAAAAAACATTTAAAACTTTTAGGGAGAGCGTACCCTCAGACCTCTAGAAACCTGCTCTTGCGGCAGTTGCAACAATAGACCCTTTTACCTTGGCCGTAATGTTTTCCATTTCAGACCACGTGTCATTCCCTAGAGTAACATTTCTTTGTTTAATGGTTGCACATGAGAAGACACATGAGAAGACACATGAATATGGATACAACTGAAACAAAGAACATTATTCTGGAGAGAATGACACGTGGTCTGAAATGGGCAAAACATTACCCTCAAGGTAAAAGGCCGGTATTGAGCCTCCCTCCCCCTAAATTAACCCATAATCCTAGATTCACCCATGATGTTGTTACCACCGGGAGCTAATTTAGATTAAAGTGAATGGTGAAAATAAAATCGGAAAAACTAAATATTAATTTTTTTTAAAATTCGAGGTCAAGATAATGACCTCTGAAAGAGTAAAAAAATCGATAAAAAATGCACTAGAACATTTTTTCGCGCGCGCCTTTGTTTTCCTATATAATTCCCCTATGGTATCTAATGTCGCTCTTATGTATAATTATTTAGTTTTTCCAATTTGATATTCACCATTCGCTTTAATCTAAATTGGGCTCCCTGTGGTCGTTACCTTCTAGTCCCTTATCTCCAATCAGGACGCCATATCTCGCCATTTGATTACTACGTTCTTCACCCGCCGTCATAGCATGTTCACAGACCTCCTTGGCCTCACGCTGCGACAACTGCCGTAAACATGCAACCGAGGCTCTTCTCAGTAGCAGATGGGGGCTGGAGAGATTCGTGCACAGTCTTCTCACGACCGTTACAAGGTTGACATGACTGGGAGCGAACACGTGGAGTTGCTGGAGACAATTGATGGCCTCTGCTTGGACGAGGGAGTCTGGGTGATTCTGCATGATTGCGCATGACACGACGCACTGCAACCGCAGAACTTTGATCTTTGCAGATCCACCTTGAAAAAACAGCATTTGTCAAACAACAACACGAAGGAGAGCTAACTATCCAGGTTGGAAAAAAATTAAAACCTGTCTGTACCTTGAAGCTCCGGTCCAATAGAAGTAATCAAAGCGGCCAGTGCTTTACCCAGGCACTGATGAACCTCGGTCATAGCTGGAGGAGCAACTAGTACCAGGTCAACTACTTGGGACAATGTTGGTTCAACATAACTACGGAACATTGGTCCTCCACTGTCTGCTATCAATGCTAGAGCATGTAAGGCCCAAACCTGCACGACAAATGACACTTTTGATCAAGGTTATTTTCAATACTCTATTTTACAGTCCCGCCCAGTGACCACAAATAATAGTGCCAAACCCATTTTTGAGACATTTTGGGGGATTTTTTTGGACTTCCGGCATAAGATCGGATGCGTTAAATTAAAAGACTTTAAAAATTAAAAATACGTTCCCGATTTCTAATTTTCATTCTGACCGTAAGTAAAGATAGAACTCTGTTTTAAAGCGTGATTTTTCTTGGTTATATTTCACTTAAGGAAAATTGCGCATGTGCCAAAAAATGGATTATGCCAGAACCCTTGTTCTTTGCCGCAGGCCAGAAGAAACGCAGGCTCGGGGTACGAGATTGTTCCAAACCGAGGTTGGTGTTGCCGCGCATGATAAAAAGTATAGTTTTGCTATGCACAGCAACTCTAGCCTCGTCTTTTCGTGGTCACTGAACAGAACTGGAAAATAGAGTATTAATAAATCGTATCACATATATCATAATCTAATACTACAGTCTCGGTGGATCATCAGATTCTAATCGCAAAATAAGCTTCACACTGAGCTTTCGGGTCCAAAATTTAAGGAAAACTTGTATGAAAACAAATCTTCCGACATTGCACTTAATTACAGTATTTATTATTAAATGTGACCGGATATATGTCATGGTTAAAAGAAATATTGCACTAGAATTCATTTTAACCTTGTAAGATTTTTAAAAACTCCTTTTAAAACTCTTTTTGCACTTAATTATTGATAATTCTTACAACCAGTTATATCTTGCCATTAGGTCGGTCCCAGTACTAACCTGGACAATAGAAGACGAGTTGTCGTGGGAAAGAGCCAGTAGTATACTGACACTCGTATTGAGGTGATGGCCTGCTCCCATGCCTCCAACATACCGATGTAAACATCCAAGTGCAACCGAATGTCCTGTCCGTGAGACAGCATCACGTGCAGACCGGAGCTGTTCGAAAATCTTCTGAACAATGCTTGAAGTAAAGGTAGGGTTGCCTACCACTTGGGCGATACGGCCCAATGCTTCACCTGCGGCACACCGTACTATGGGATCAGGGTTGGTTACTGCATCCATTACTAGGTTTGTAGCAGTGCTTCGTACGTCGTCACCGCCTAATCCCACCTAGAAAGACATTGGACATTTATGAGTGGTGTACCAATGAAAGGTGTTCGGTATGTGACCATAACGTGATGTGTTGTGCCGTAACCGTGTCGTGCTTTTCTAGAGCGGTTTTCGCATGACTGTGAAAAGCTCAGTGCGTTAAGCGTGCCGTGCAGTGACCGTGATTTTTTCTAGAATTTCAATTGGCTGATTTTTTACTCGCGTAATGCATGTGCTTGGTCTAGCATTGCCGTGACTGTGGCGTGGCCATGTCCGCACCGTGTTTGTGCCGTGTTCGGGGTATTTGATTGGATAGAGAGTGATTGGTCTGACGTATGCCTTGCCGTGTCATGACCGTGTTCGTGCCGTGAGCTTTTCACAGTCATACGAAAACTGCTCTATGTTGTCTGGAATTATTTGAATGTATTTGACCAAGAGACTATCATTTGACCCGACAATCAATAGTCACAATTTTATACAGCTTAGGTTAACCTTGTTAGGTTATTGTAATCACTTTGTGAATTTATTTCTACCTTTCAAATTTTTTCTTTAAAATGACTGTATTTAATCTAAATTTTTGAAATAAAATTTGTTGCACTTGATTGAGAGAAAGCAAATATCCAAGATACACCTACTKGCAAGAACGTTGTCAAACGAAAATAAAACATTAGTGATTTAGTGGGATAGGAATTATATTAAAAAACAAAAGAAGATCACTGAAGCTGAACTTTTTCTTTTGTCTTTTAATGTATTCCTTTCTCTCAAAATTACTAATGTTCTATTCTTGTATGACAACCTTCTTGCAAGTAGGTGTAAATCAGGATTTGATTTTTTGCATTTGAGTAAAAGTCAAATATCTGGCGATTGTCCAATCAAACTTAAGGTCACAGCAGAGCCTTGATGGAGGATGGTTACCACAGTCACGTACTGATTTGATAGTGTGTGACAGAAAACTTTAAATCTACTGTATTTTACCAACCTTAGCTTCAGCTAAGCTCTTCAATGCACAAAGGAATGCTGTTAGTATATTGGTCTGTATGGCTTGCTGTCTACTGGACTTGGCCTGCCTGATACACTCCGCAAAGTGCAATAGCAACTGACTGCGATGTTTGTGAGCAACATAAGGGAAGATGAATCCAAACAGCTTGATGGATGCGTCAATCACAGCCACGCCCAAGGGAAGGGGGCCAGGCGAATCTTCACCCTACGAACAAGATGATGGTATATTAAAATGACTACCACAGGTATCCCAAAGACCGAGTCCTGTTATTCTTACTGCGCATGCTTGTCGAGAGTGCATAAAATCCATTAGACTACCACAGGTATCCCAATTCTAAATGACCAGTAATAATTAGACTAACGGCCTATCATATGGCAGATATCGCAATTATAAATGAGCGCCAAACATGTGGCATGCGATACCACAGCTATCCCAATTAATGACAAACAAATTTTAAATTCACTGGGCTTGCTCCTGGTGCCACAGAGGTGGCAAGGGCAAACGCAACGTACCTGAGGACAGCGTTCATATACACAGGACGGGTCGTGTTCAAGTGCTCCAGAACCAGAAGCACTATTGGGCTGTAACTGTTAAAAACAAGAGAAAAACGATTGAGATTTTATTAGAAAAATTTTTTTGCCTTATGTAGATAATGATTTCTGGTAAACTTCCAGTAAGAAGCACTTAGAAATCATAATCGGAAGGTATCCCTTTGCTTGGCTTGTGCTTACGCTTGTGACGAGCGGTTTTCACTTGCAAATACACGCATAAACTGCTTCAGTTTCCGATTTCGACGCAAAAGAAAATCATTCTACTTAAACATCAGGGAGAAAACAAAACAATTTGAGAATGCCCTACCTGTTCTTCTACAGATTTATGATCTGTCTCCTGTAACCAGGTACCAAGAAGAATCGTATCATCTTTGTGACATACCGTACGGAGTAACGATGTCGTGGTAAGCGATGGGTTTTCCGCCAGAGTGAACTCCGCGACGAGTTCACGAAGAAGACTATGGAAATAACCTACAAAAATGAAACGATGGATCATTAACATCATTAGGGAATTAAGGATTCCTGGACGTAGCATCACATGTGAGCAGAGTTTGTGGGGTCACAACAATGCTAAATTCCAATTCGATCTGTGCATTTGCCTAGCCTTGCCCTGATATTGTTTTAGTAGAGTTCCATGAAATTTGAGGGTTTTTTTTTTAACCAAGAAAAGCATAAGAAATAACGTTTTGCTAACGAGATAAAAAAATGAAAAGTGACTGTCTTTAGCGACATCAGCTCCTTTAGCTATAACAATAATAGAGTAACTTCAAATGACTGTGAAACAACACGACAAGTAATTAATGATATCCTTTGAACCAATCGCAGTGTGCGAAATAGAGCTCCTCCAATAAAAATGCTTGACGTGAGAACATCAACGATATGGCAGTGGATATCTGCACCTTTTTTATAGCCAAACCAAGTTTGCTCTATTTTAGGAAAACCAGGGTGCACAGTTTGACCCCAGAGAGAGGTTACTGAAAACATTAGATTTATTAGGCAGGTATGGACCTACTTACTCTCATATGTTTTGGGTGGAAGCAAGGAAAACATAGTGTACATGCGCAAGCGAATCATCGCGATGCTTGCTTTTAAATGGTTACCATGTTGTTTGATGATTTGTGGTAAACTGAAAAATGAAAAAAATAGCATGAGTGAGTGAATGAATAGATGGATGGACGGACGGACGGACGGACGGATGGACGAATGAATGGATGAATGAATGGATGAATGAATAGATATGAATGGATGGATGGATGGATGG